TCATTAGGAGCATTGTTCACTGTTGTTTGTGGTTTTTCTGCTCACATTACGTCCCAACAAGTGGTTTCATTGGAAGAACTGGTCTTGCCTTTGTTATGGTCCGCACTGTTAAACATCAATTGCCTTCTGTATAGAGGGGTTCTGATGGGTTGTTGTGAAATTCACTGAAAGTGATGTCAAATTTGTTTCCACTGTGATTCCAGAATTTGCCAGAGTTGGGATTTCTGCAAATCAAGGAGGAATAAGGTAACATATGATCGTGGTGTACTTGTTTTGCCAAGAGCTGTGAAATTCTCTTGACGTGACCAAAAAAACCCCTAATCAATCCCAGATGTCCAATTGTTGAGTTGATCTTTAGGATGACTTGAACAGTACAAAATGTTTCGTTTGGTTGGTTTGTCTGTCACTTTACGAAATTGCATTCATATCTTGCTCATGATGCTCCTCGTTGCCTCACTTGTTGAAGAGAAATTTATTTATCGAATCACACAGGACGCCAACTGCTTGTGTGCAAAGCAGATTGTTTTGGTAACGATGCTCGAATCTGATTGCAATCTTCATAGGAATGAGAGGATGAGTGTGAAGAAATTGCCAAATCATCAGCCAATGCATTTATTAAGCATACGACGAACTCAACTGAGATGCTGTTCTCTCACAGTTGGGCAAATGAATTAGTAACGATACTGCATGGCAAATAACAACTCATTAATGGGAGTGGTGAGGTGGTGTTCAACAAAAACAAAGAGCAGCATATTTTAAAAAAAAAAACAATGACTCTCTCTACTATTGAGAGTTTATTTTCTGTGACAGGTAATGGACAAACAAACACACTTGTTTCTCCATCTGCAAGAATCAGCAGATACAAAACAATCAAAGACTTTGTTAACATCACCAAGAAACATGGCAATAACAAAGAATTCACTCTAAAAGAATCTCCAATGCAGAAATATTGTTCCAAAGTGGGAGATACATTTTTGTGTCAACAAAGAAATAGCAAAGGTAATTCAACAAGTGTGTGTGTTGATGTTGGTGTTGCCAATTTTTCTTCCATGATGTTTAGTGAATCTTTTTTAATGGTCCAACCAAAAAAACAAACAAACAATGACACATCCTTGGTGGATTTATTGTCATTGTTCAACATGTTGACACATACATTGCGAGATGAGACAGTTTATGAATTGTTGTTGCAGCTTTTTTCAAATGATATTGACTTATTCGAAACCTTTTGTAAAGATTTACAAAAGAGAAACGAAAAAGTATCTTCATTATTCATTGCTTTTTCTGTAAATGTGGTTTCATTTAATTCTTACATCCTTTTGCAAAAAGATAGAATGCGAATTTCAGATAGTCTTTACCATGAGATTCGAATTAGATTCTTTCTTGAAAAATATTTACCTCCCTTAGATGACTTAAAAGACACAAGAAAAGAAAAAAACATAGAAGTGCTTGGCTTTTATGATGTAAATATTAGATCTGTCAGTTATGTAGCCAGTGTTCAGCATGAAAAAGAGCAGATATATGAGGACATTGATGAGCCAGAGGATGCCTGTGAAGATACTTGTCAAAATATTTGTCAAGATAGCTGTCAGAATATTTCTTCAAATCCTACACAAGACAACCAATCGTCCAACAGTGTTGGTGTTGCAATGAGTATGTCGAGTAATGTGTTGAATGAATCACCTGTGACGGTAAAAGGAAATAAGAAACAAACGACAGTCGTGTTTGTTAAAAATATTACAAAATTGGTAAAGAGTATTTTGAAATTGGAATTAATCGAAACCATCAATAGACAAACAAAAGGAAAAGTTATTTCTGAGAACGATATGGCTTTTTTGGAAAAAGCAACAAAAGAGGCCATTATGAGTTATGGAATGGATCAAAAGGGTCTTAATGGTTTGACAGTTTTGGGTGTATCTATGCGAGGTTCTAGAGTTTTTATGCTCAATGTCCCTTTTCAATAATTCCATTGGCCCTATGGAATGGTAAGGAAAAAGATATTTTATTTATATCAAACATTATAAGGGCAGAGCTTGATGAATTGCGTAAACAGGTAGTGGTTATTGAATACAATGGAAAAAATTACAAGTATGAATTAAAAAACAAACTTGTTACTGATTTGTCTGCGTTTAAATATTTAAATGGATGGAGCAGAATTAATTGTCCATTTTGTGATTGTCCAAACGCACATAGTTCAATTAAACAGGGATGCACTGTTGTGGAAAGGTCTGGTAACACAGAAATTTCAAATTGTTTAGGATTTGATCATACTGATTTTATAATTTGTTATTTACATTTACTCGAAAGAATCATTCAACATCTATTAAGGCTTAGTTTAGGTACAGCAGAAGAAAATTTCGATTCTATGGTAAAAGAAATTCAAATGGTTTCAACATTAAGAAACTTGATGTTTGAACCAGATGAAAATGGAGATTACAATTTATATCTCACTGGTGACCAATGTGAAGCTCTATTGCAAGGACGTGCTAAATTTTTTAAAAATTGTCCAAAACATATTCAAGAATTATGGAACGAAGGCAATCACATTCTTGATATATTCAAAAAAGGGCTGAGCAATGGCGATTATCAAGATTTCCAATTATCTCTTGATCGTTTCTTCCAGAAATTTAAAAAGTATTCAACAATAGGAAGCTGGTATGTTCACATAATTATGTATCATGGGGTTGCTTTGTTAAAAACGTATGGAGGCTTGTCAAAATGGAGTGCAGAAGGTTTTGAACATTTTCATAGACTTCTTGAATATATTTTGG